ACTCCTATACCAAAACATAGTATTTTCATGCCCAGTGAAGAAACCTGAATTCTATTAGATAGGAAGAAGGCTGTGAAAAAGCAAATGATGTGTTCAAAGAAGGTGCAGAATATAGGACAAGCACATAGAGAGACAAAGAAAGGGAGAAGTAGATATTGTAATGCTGGGGAGAGCTTTGGATTCAAAGGGAGAAATGTGATTTGGAGCATGCATAGGGATGCACATAACACCTGTCAGAAACACCTTCAACCTTTTCCTGAGATCATGCAGCAGCTGTGGAGGGCAGGCGCACAAGTCCATGAAAAATGCAGCCAGTTCTTTTATAGGTGTGCATGCTTTGAATCACATTTCTCCCTCTGAATCTGAAATATTGCACATATACTGTACGTTTCATTAGTGCCTTGAAGGAGACATCCTATTTCTAAAGGTGAACAAATAAAGGAAGGGAGCTTTCTGTTAAACAAGGTCCTAGTGGGAAAGTATGCAATGGGAAATGAAGCATTGCCACTAAAATTGTGAATGAGAGACAGATCATGAAAGGGCTGTAGCTCAATAGTTATAACAGCTGTTATACAAATCCCAAGTACAAGTTCTAGCAATTCTAGGTGACCTATCTGAATTTTGGAAAGCTGTAGCACCCAGTCTAGTCAATACTGAGAAAGATGAAGCAATAGTATAATTTGATATAACTCAACCTCTTATTTTTATTTGAATATAATGTGTGTAGAAAATGGTTCCATCCAATTGTTTGGTTTACACACTGCTGGCACATAGTGTCCAATTTCTCAGCTGGAATTTAATGTCTGTCAGGGTTGAAATAGCCCTATATTTTGGGGACCCACCAGACTATTAAAGTATTAATTGTCTTTTAAATATATAAAATGATCAAACTTCATTACACAACAGAAGTAGGTATAACAACAATATAACCACAAATATTTTCCAGATCTTGTTTTGTTTTAAGCAAACCAAATAATAAAGAAGGCATGGCACCACTTAGAGGTTCAATCCAAAACATCTGGAGAGTATCAAGTTGGGAAAAGCTAGCCTCAAACTAATAGCAGCAATCAGCAGTGTAATCATGGACTGCTTAAATGCTGCAGATTAAACAGTTTCTGATAGCCACAAGGCAGCATAACTCCCCTTGAACACCCCCCCCATCCTTCTCCTAAAACATTAGCATTAGTTAATCAAGTTAGCAGCAAGCACTCTGCAACTAAAGTGAGGAAGAAAAGCAATGCAGTTGCTGCAAGCCTGTTGGGAAAGGAGTTGACTGCTTAGGCCATAGGACATCAAAGGGAATCAGCTGTTTGCACAGACAATATCGCCATCACCAGGACATTAGAGTTATTCACACACATACACAGTAGGGACTCCTAAAATGTCGTCCTGCTTAAATTTAAAGGGCCCTTGTACCTTCCACCACGCAACTGTTTTGAACACTGCTGAAACCTGGGAACATTCTAACTACTAAAAGGCTTTTTATGCCACAGATATATAAGACAGATACCTGCCACAAACCCCTCCTTTTTTTCTCATATGCAGAAGAGAAAGTTTCGTTAAAAAAAAAAAAAGCAATATCTATTGAATCTTTTTCTCTTATAATATTAAAGTCATTACAGAAACTTTGTCCTACTATACATACATTCATAGAATTACATAAACCCTGCAACTGGAATAATTTTCAGACAGATTGCTAGTTAATTTTTTGCAGCAAAAACAGGAAAGGGACTTGTGCCATTTCAAAGACCACACATTTATTACTGCATGAGCTTTCCTGGATTGCAGTCCAGTTCATCAGGTGCACAGAGCATAGCTTGTGAGAAAGGTGTATATGTGTATGTGTTTGTACGTGTGTGTGTGTGTACACACACACACAGCTGGCTGGGTTGGGAGGGAGAAATAGAGAAAGTCAAAATTAGGTGTTACATAGACATTCATGAGAGTGCTTTCAATTTTGGCTAGATGTTGGATTCTGTAACATCCCTTAGCTAATTGTTTTTTCATATAGAGGATTAGAAGAGAAAACAGCAGAATCCCATATAAAAAGTCCCAAGTTTGATACAAAGGGACTGTATGGTAAATGAATGATAAAACACTCTACAAGGAGGAGGAAAGGGGTCCTACCAAAGGGCAAAGTCAGGTGGCTGCCTCGGAAAGACAGCAATTTGATTAGTATTGTATTTTTACTATCCAGAAATGGCCTAAGGTCAGGCTTTGATATGATACACCTTGGCTATGGGGAAGTGTTTCTGGAGGTGGGGGAGGGAGGCTTAAGGCCACAAATACCATATTCTGTTTTAGGCATCAAACAATGTTTGATAATCTCAGGACTTGGGGAGAACAGATTTGCCCTTTGAATGTTACAGGAGAAGTGACCACATTTGGAAAACACAGCCAAATTCTGGCTCAGATACGACTCTTCTTTATTTCTCAGGCAGCTTACTTTGCACATTTAGAGTTGCAAGTCCTAGCAGATTTGTACTCTAAATAGAGCTGCACTACTTTTGTGACCAGGCAATGCATAAACCAACAACTGGAATTAAACTGAATGGTGCTAAAATCTCCTAAGAAGCAGTTACTGAACAGGCAACTTATACTTCTCTTGAGGCATAAAAAATCCGGTGTTTTTCTAAAATCACCTTAAGCAGTGAGTTAGCACGTACCACATTTCTGGATCTAGAACAGCAGATACTCTTTAATTCACAACCACTTTCAGTCACTTTCACATTGTTCTCTCTGTTCTGTAAATCTGGACTATGCTGCAAACAAGACAGGACTTTGGCATACATGTCCCACGTCACTAAAATTTTTTAGAGCTTACTGGTGCACAGTATTTCATCTTTCACTGCAGCATGTAAAAACAAACCTAACTAGCATTTGAGAAGTTACACATTTCATTTGTAAAGCTCACCATAAACTAAAATCTATTTTAACTATTCTAAACTAAATCTATTTTAACTATTTAACTTGTAAATGGCCCAGGGCTAACCTAACAAAGTGCTGTCCAATTATCATATCTTGAATACAGGATGTGGTGCAGAAATCAATTAAAATAAGAAGTTACATTCATATTGCTCCTTCCAGAAACTTTAACAGCTAATCTATGTACAGAACCCAGAACCTCAATATAAAAAGTTTAACCTAGAGGAACCTCTCTCAATTTTCTAGCAATAATTGCAATCCTAAGTGTATTGCTTATGTGAGCTTCCTATAATTGGGTTCACATATGTTAAATATGGTTTATTTTTGGATGTTATGTAAATATGATTTATGGCATAGCAAGTATGAACCAGATTAATACTGCTTATTCAATAACCATTATTAAACAAACCATGATTTGGTATGTCATGTGAACTAGGTCTGCATATGGTTTCTTTACTGAATAATAAAGAACTAGGCTGGCTTAATATAACATGCAAGGACAAAACCATACAGATCCCATTATTGTTCAATCTGAAGTTCTCAAACCCTGTGATGCATTTCCTTAGGTTAGGTTTCTGAAATAAATATACTAGTTCTAATAAATACATTTTACTTCATATATCAACTAAAGAAGTCAACTGGATGTTGGCGGCCAGTAAATTGAAGAGGAGGAGGAACCTTGCAACTTTATAAAACTTTCATTGGAAATAAACAATAAAAAAGTAAACTGTATTTAATGGGAAGGATGAACTTCTTTAGTTTGGCATAATTCCTGAAATCTGGATTTTATTTTTGAGCTAGCACTCTCACTTCTTGTCCCGCATTTATTCTGAATCAATATCTGCACATTAGAGCAGCAACTGTAGAACATTTTAACATTGCTGTCAGTTTGTTCAGCAGAGCAGGAGTGAGTTCTGAAACCAATTCAGCTTTGGGAACCTGGTGCATGTGCAAAGCCAGAGCTGTCAGCTTGTCCAGACATAGTGAGAGTGAGTTTTGGCAGCGATCCTTTGTCAGCACAACTCCCCCAAAACTACACCCATCATTAAATTTTCTTTGTGACTACCTAGGAGGTTGCAAACCACACTTTGAGAATTCCTAGTTTAGTGCAATAGTGAACACAACTTTCCTGTTCTTGTATTCTAAACGATATGAATATCTCCTCATTTGTCCCATTCCTTTAATGGAAAAAAACAAGTCATAATCTAGAGTGTGAGATTTACAATTAAAAGATTTATACCTGAAACGTGAGATTCATAAAGACAGGTTTCCCTCAGATATATAAACAGTAGCAAAACTAATACAAGATCAAAACAGCCAAGATTAGAAATGTTCTTGTTCCAAAATCCGAAGAACACACTTTTTTAAAAATGTGGAATTCATAAACCCAGAATTCTATGTGGTCACTAACATATTCCTGCATTAAATCAAAGGTCCACAAATACAAAGTAGCTTTTTAAAATGTGACTATCTGCATTTAATGACAGATGGAAGCAATATATAATATGTGAAGAGATAAAGCCTTTGGATTTCTGTCATAAAAATGGTCCTCTAATACAGTGTTCCCAAATTGTAAATGTCAACTTGCAATGTCAACATATTTACAAGGGTAAGCATTAGACAATAGCATATTAATAAAAGAAAATCTCCCCACAACTATGCATGGTTATTAGACCAATATTTTTTTAAACTAGTAACTGATTTTTAAAAGGGCACAATACAGATCAGTGAAAAACAAAAGATTTTTCAACACTGACCGCATTAAAATGGGACTGCGATCTAAAGTATTCCAGCTACCTAATCATAGGCAGAAAGGAATTCCCAATATATAATCAATTTCTGAAACAGACTATATTATATTTCCCTGATTAAAAGCTGTAGTTTGTACTGAAATTAAGCACTAGCAAGAGTACAGATACTCACTCTTAACCAGCAAGCGTTATTATTGCAAAAACATTCATTTCTCCCTTCAACAGTTGATTCAAGACAACCCAAGGACAAAGTCCTGATTCAAATTAACTTTCTGCTAAATATCATATTAATACCGATAAACTGTAGAAGCATTACAAACTTACCTTAGAGCACACTATTACAAAATCCATTGTGTCCAAAATAGGTCACAAGCAATTCCAGAAGGAGAAGTTTAACTTCTAGAAATATGAGTACCTCCGTAGATCTCTCCAATTCTGAGAAGGAATAAATTTTTCCTCTGTAACAGAAAATTTATCATCAGTGGAAATAAATGGACTGCACAGAGCATACATGGCAAGACTGTTATGTATCACACAGAATTTTAAAAATTGGTCAAAGTAAGAACGAATTTACAAATATACACTAGTTTGGTCTACATATGCTAAGCGAAAACATAGTACATTTGTGCCTCAGCATGATGTCCAAACTCAGCCAGTGTGGCATTTAAAACCATAGTCTACAGGTTAATGCATTTTGCAGACTCAACAGTTGTAGTTTATGCCATAAACCATGTGTAAGCAAACTGTGGCTTAGCATATTATTTAAACACAGATAGTGCTGTTAAAACATAGTGGAATCCTTGCAGCATACATACATCACTTATTCCTTGGAGAGGCCTGAGGTGAAGAACAAAATGGCTGCCCCTCCATTCTATATATTTAGTAGTAACTGATGAGGTTAGCAGCTGAATTTTACTTTAAAGTTGATAATGGCCTCCACAACTGAGGATAACAGAAGTTTGTACATTCCATGTGGCAATCATAACTGTAATCCTCTTTGCTCCACACCATCCAACAGCTCTCATTTTACCTAATGATACGGCCAGCTCCAATCCCTCCACTTTCCCATATTCATTCTCCCAACTAGTCACTGTTGTTGTGTCAGGCAGAAATCCATCCCAACTGTTCAAAATCAGACCCTACACAGCCTCCTTCAGTTATTTTCATACCCCAAACACATCTTGAATTCACTATGCATTCAGTTTCCCCATTTCCCTTTTGCATCAAACCCACAGCCAGGAAGACAGATTTGAGTTTATTAGTATTAGTATAGGCTATTAGTAGTTACTATATTGGAGTAAGAAATCAGATACCTGGATTCATGGTGTAGTTTGGAAACTGATCTTAAGCATGTTTTAGAGAGGATTAATTTTTCTAAACATACAGTCCACAGTATATAATTTGTTCATTAGTTAATGAAGCTAAAATACAGAAATGCTTATCCTAGAAAGATACAGGAGAAAGTGAGGCTGCACTTCTATTTCCACACTGTCCCATCTATAGTAACCATCTCAAGAGCTTGGAGTGCTTAATGGTTTAAGACACAAAACATGGATTATTCACTCTTGGATCCAATATAAGTTTCTGTATTCATACAATCTGCATACAGAAGTCTGATTTTCTCATACCTTATATTGGCTTGAAAGAAGAGGCTGTAATCTCAAATAAGAAGTCTAGTTTAGTTAAAATAAAAATAAATGTTTATATCTATGCTAAACTATAGAATTAATGACTCTTTGAGAAATTTGCTACTTAGTCCCATATTGTTATCCCAGTTCCACAAACTCCATCTCATCTTATTATTTATTAGAGATGAAAGCTTTCATAACATGAGTACTTTAACAAAATTAAGCTTTAGGCACCAATTATTTTTTCCCCACTATAGATAAGTTTGACAATGAGCGACAGTACAGAATTTTTCAGCTACTAGCCATTTCACAACCTCCATTGGAACGGTAGCAGTTCCTCCTTTTTTGCAGCAAATTCAGATATTATATTCCCAATCTGGAAGCCCTCTCAATAATTCTGATTAGGAATTATGGAAGTCAGTCAAATATATTGGAGGGTTCCAGGGTGGGAAAACTGCAAAATGAGTTTATTCTCCAACTGTATCCAAGGTTAACACATAATTTGCTTTAAGAACAAATCTACTTTATGCCTTTCTTCAAACGGTAAGAAATACAATAGCAAGTATTATTCAGCAAAATCAATGTCAATATTGTAATAACTTTAATATTTTGCAGTTCTAATGCATTTAGAGTTTATTCTTGGCAGTTGTTTTATATTTTAGAAAGCTGCTTTTATTATAAGATGCAAATGGAATCAGATGTTAATATCATTTTAGCTCAAAATTAAAAAATCAAATATAAGAAAAATAACTTTTCCTAACAGTAGATTGTACCATATAAAATTCTCATATTTAATGAGTCTCCTGCTCTTCCCTCTGAGACTGAAATATCTTAAATATACTAACAAAACATTAACTAGGTTAAGCTTATAAAATATTGAATGAATTTATAGCCTTGATATTTATATTTCTTGTATTCCCTACTATATTTCCTAAATATTTTTTTAATTGATAAATAAAATATCCAAGGGAAGTATACAAGAAACTAGTATCAGCCACATTACCAGCACTATGCTAACATAATCAGAGATACCTGTGTGAGGAGAAAGCTACACCAAGAATCCAATACATGGTTTATATGTTTCAGGTGGAATAGAAAACATGCTGAGATCTCCTTTAAATTGTTTCCGACCTCTTGATGTAATTTTCTTCTAAATTCTAAACATGTAACAATTTATAAGGATTTATGAACATTTTGGTACATTTTTTTCCACTTGTTCAAAGTACTTATGCATTTGTTGCCCTTTTCTTTAAATATGCAGTAAATCCAAAATCCTCACATCCAAGGGACCAATCACTTTGACAGTATAAAGAAATTCACCTTCCCCTGGATATTACAAAATTACTTTGTCAGCAGATATGTAGTAAAAGAGGAAGGCTTGTTTCTACAAATCAGTTCTTTTGAATTGCAACCTTATGTACATTTATAAAATAAGTCCTATAACACCATCAGCAAATGGACTTCTTTTAGCATCTTAATGTGATGTACAGATTCTGAATTTTCGCCTGGCTGATATTTTCATTCTGTTTTCCCACATCTCTCTAAAAACATACACTGTCATTTTCTTTAAAAATTTGTTTATGTATGTACACAGAATCAGTGAAGTAATACAAATATGAGGGACTGATAAGACACTTAAAGCAGTCAGACTTACCTTATTTTAAACATATGGGTCATTTTTATTTTTGGTGATATTTCAATACATCACAATCCTAACAGAAAGATTAGCTAATCCCATCTTTTTTATAATGGTTCTATATCTTCCCCAATCTGACATTTATCATTCCCAGCTAACACATGAATGATATAGGTTGTAGTCTCATACAAGGCACCAAGTTTTCTCAAACTGCTTTCCTTCCTGCTAGTGGCATGAAATCAAGAGTTCAAGCACCCTCTTTTCTGTATGTTAACTATGCTCAGAACTCCCTTTTAACCCCACACAAATACCACTTTTAAAAAACAAAGTATTCCAGCAATATCATCAAGAGCCAGGCTTCTGAGGTCCTATCCCTACAATAGGAAGTTTGCACTTGCTCAGTAGAGAGAAAAATTTACACTGCAATCCTACACCCATGAACTAGTATCAAGCCCCATATAACTTAGATTTACTTCTGAGGAGACATATACAAAGGTGTGCTGTCACTCCGCATATGCTCTATGACACTTATGACAGAAGCAGCAGACTGTGCTGTGGCAGGGAAAAAATTCTGGGATATAGCCCTGACCCAAACTAGGAATGGCCCAGTCCACAAAGCCAGGGAGGCCACTGGCAGCGTTGCCTCTGGGCAAGCCTTGCTTCTAGAGATTCCCTGAGGGGACTGTTGGGCCTGCTTGACTCGCCATCATTTTCACTTGCCCGTACAGATATTATAGACGGTATATGTGGGTGGGCGGAGGGACAGAGGCTGATCCGATTGTTTTGCTCTTCGCAATTCAACGAGCAGAACTTCCAAAGTTCCGACCCCTCGTATTTTTTACAGCCCAAATTCACTTCTGAAGTGTTCTTCGGAGGGGCGGACGGTACCATAATAACCTTGATTCGGTCCCCCCAACTCCGTTCCTCCTCCTCCCTCCCTCCCGCTCCTGGCCTGTCCAGACGGTCTCTGCTACAGCAGTTGCAAAAGCTCGGCTGGGCTGCGTCCTCCCTTCTTTCCCCATTTTCCTCCTGCTCAGTCAAAGTTGCAGGAGCGGGGCTTCCAGTTACTCGGCCTGCGGTCTATGGCAGGAAAGGAGTGTACATGTGTGTGCGTGGATGGGATACGGGGGGGGGCTCCGTTTTCCAGCTACATTCCTCCTCGGTAGCATGCATCTGCAACGTTACGCCCCCACCCCATTTTTCCCATCCCCACCTCTTCACCTGCCTCTCCCCCCACTCACCCCTTCAATCGCCCCTCTCTCTGTTTTTGCTCCCTCCTATTTGCACCAGCTGGAGAAGCTACTCCCATACCCCCCAACACCTACCTGCACAGCTCAACCAGCCTTGAAGTGGGTGTGGGAAGTCTTCCGCCCTCCTCCCTTCTCATTGGCTTCGCGGAGGACAAGATCTGACGTGGTTGGACGAGGGGTTGTCAGTCACAGGCAAGGGGTGGGGCCGAAGGACGGTTTGATGCTGATACCTCGGGTTTATCCCTCCCTTTGCTTGTGTTTCCCGAAGATGGGGGGGGTGAGAGTGTAAAATTGTGGGAGTACCTAGGCAAGGCAGGGCCCTTAACCCGCTCCTCTAGTATCTCTTCGAATCATATTTGCCATTCAGTCTCCCGATTGCAAGCAGCTCGGGAGCCACTGAAATGCAACACTGCCAGAAAAGCATTCCAATAGGATACTCCCTCAGATAGATGGGGAAGGGGAAAAAGATGACTCCTGGCCAGGAAGAAGGGAAACGCAACGCGTATTGCCCCATAGGACCATCCAAAGGCTGTAATGGAGTTTTACAACCAAAGGCCTCCCAGACTCACACACACCCACACCCAAAAAAGAGGAGGAAAAGGTTGCATATCCATCATTACAGTCAGGCAGGGCTCACAGGGAAGAAAGAGGGTAGAATGGAGTGAGGAATTAGGGTTTTTATAGGATTTGCGGGTAAGGGTCTCTCCGCAGCTTGTGGGGAGAGAGAGCAGGAGGATGTTGGCTGCTCTCACTGGCAAGGATTTTATTTTTTTTTTGGCAGGCCTATTATCACCTGTAGTATATTTATTTCAAAAAAGAAAAGCCTAGGAGTGTGATAGATATCCCTACTTTATATTTTGTTGCATACATAAATACCCATTGTGCTACTCTCTTTTGGGATAAGTAACATAATGCAAAGGACAGAAAAAGAATAGGAAATAGTGAGCGAAAGAAATTAAAGAGATAAGAAAAAAGAAAAGGAGGTAGATTAAAATTAATTTACATCAGTGTTGTTCATCACACTTTTCCATAGCTTATCTTTGCATCAAAGATACATACATACATACATCGCTTCTCACTTCCTCTCACACCTTTCACTCTTTTTCCATACATTTGTTTTGAAATTTGATTCTAATGTTTTCTCTCCATAGGACCAAACCACCTCAACCTACTTCTTTCTTACTAGTCACACTTTTTCCATATTCAATCCACATTCAAGCAGCACCCAATCATTCCTGTCCCCCATCCCTTTTTTTAACTACACACATTTAAGTACCCCATTCCCACTTCATTCATTTGTAATACCATAGTGCTAATCTTATGGCTATTAAACCAGAATGGGGCAGTAGCAGGATACATGCATATCATATGAGGTGGTGTCCCCTTGCCTATTCTACACCTCCAACATAACGAGGTTGACAGCCAATCTTTTTAAAACATTATCTAAGGTATTTAATAAATGTGAAAAAATACTTTGTTGAATTAAACATCATATGATTATAAGAAACAGATTTCATATTTTTTCAAACTCTTAACCCATTGATTTGTTAATATGGAATATGCTAAGCCTTCATCCAGCATTATTGTAAATAGTGAATCTCTACAACAGCAGTACTCTGTAACTGTTTATTAAAAGTGCTGTAAAATCATTCAAAATCCATACCATTATTCACAATAGTTGAAGAATTTTAGATGCTGCTAATGTGTCTGAACCAAATTGCAAATTGAAATGTTTTAATTTAATATACTGCCATGTTGTAGTTTGGGACAATCCAAACTTGATTAGCTATGAGCTGATCCAAGATACTGATACCTGTATTTGCTTATGACTTCTGGAAAAAAAACAAAAAAACAGCAGTTTTCAGACTGGGATCACAGAATGTAAATTTATCATGTGAGCATGATATGTGATTCCATCCCAACAAGCCTTTAATGCAAGAAATGAAATAAAATTCCCTGTTATTTTTGTTATTTTTAAAAACTTTGAGAAAGAAAGAAAGAAAGAAAGAGAAAGAAAGAAAGAAAGAAAGAAAGAAAGAAAGAAAGAAAGAAAGAAAGAAAGAAAGAAAGAAAGAAAGAAAGGCCGGCCTGTATGGGCTTCTCATACATACTCATGGGTATACTGTATTGAGTTTTACATAAC